TAATAAACACACAAAGGCAGAGCTTGCTGCTTAATATTCACCCGCAGCAGTCAGGGAAGAGGGAAAAAAATTGTTCCCGAGGGTTAACGTGGCAGTAAGCGAGGTCAGCTGTTTCCCAAGATGGTACAGCCTCTGAAGGTCTTACGTTAAAGCTAGAATGATACCTTGGAAGCAGCCTAAGTGATTTACGGGCGGGAAAGACGGTGCAGTCGGGTTTGCTTGGCACTTCTGAGCTAGCTGTCTCCAGCAGCTACAGCAGCGAGCAGTCCTCCGCTGTACAAAGCACTTACAGAGAAGGGGATTCTCCCGGGTCTCCCAACACCACAGCTCCATGGCCTGTCTGACTTGAACCTCCCATGTTGCTGTTTCCCAAATATGTCAAGAAGCATGGGATCATAGTTGATATATCCTTGGGAAAGGTGACCAGCCACACAGATGGTTTTAGGCCACAAGGTTTTCCTGGAATATGGGCTTGGGACTAATGTGGGAGAGTATGACTTGCCCTGGGATGGTGATTGCCAAATCTAAGGTGTTCACAAAGATGTGTGTGTCCTTTCTTTGGACTTCTGGATGGAAGAGGAGTTGTTTTTGTTGTTGTTATTGTTTTTACAAAGCTAGAAAGTTTATAGTATTGTGTATTTGGGATACAAATTTCATATATTCTTCATTGGTTCAATGAGCATTTTTAAAATATTTGTCTTGATATTTAATTGAACTAATCCTATACTCCCCATGACATCATGTACTGGTCTGAAAAAGTAGAATTTTAAAGAAAAGCATCTCATTTCTTTGAGATGCTCCAGCCCAGAGATAATTCAAAAAGAATTTCCCAGCAGTATAGAATCCCAGCCCTTCCTTTAAAAACAGAGCACAGCTAATAGTCTCTCCTGAATGCTTCATTTGGGGGCCACTTATGACTATTCTAATGGATTTACAGCATGGTTAATGAGATGGTGATGGTCATCTCAAACTCCCCTGTGGCAAGTGCCATGATACAGATGCTAATAGCTTCCCTAGGATTTCCTACTCTGCCTGACTTACACCAGGGCAATCGTAAGGTGGCTTTTCTTTTTTCCCGGTACTTTACTCTGTCTTGTAGTGTTGTACTTAAATACCTTTTGTCACTTTCATGTGTGATCCCATACTGCTCAGTCAGCACACAAACAAACACCTGCCTACTCCCCTTTGGGCCCCATGCATACCACAGCATGGTTCCTTGCTTGCCTCCCTGCCTCCATGCTTACCTGCCTGCCTGCCTGCCTGCCTGCCTGCCTGTCTGTCTGTCTGTCTATTCATCCATCCTTCAAAATATCAAGTAAACACACATATGAAATTATTAAGATAGACAGATATCAAAGTACTGACAGTAATTATCCCTGAGTAGTAGATTATAGGTGTTAAATATCACGCTTTTTAAGCTCGTCTATTTTCTAGATATTATTGATAAGCATACCCTATTTTTTCAAGAAAAAGATTCATAGCACTAAAAGATTTCCTTGTAGAAAAAGAAATAAGTATAGTCACTGTTCTCAGCCAGCCTCAAATGACACCAGAATATATATGCCCATATATATGCCCTAAGTTGGGCGAGAAAGTGGAGGCACCGTCTCTCCATGACAACCTGTGCTAGGAATCCGAATTAATTCTGTTTCTGATTTGGATTTTACTGCCGAGTCTTTGCCCTGGAACATGGAAAAACCTCACGTGATGACAGGTTTCTCGTGCCTTCACTGTTCTCAGTGGAATGTCCCAAGCACACTCAAGTGAGAGCAGTCCTTCAACAGTGAGAGGGACCATTTGATGGGTTAGGAGGTTGGGGATTTGAGCTCAGAGCAGTTATGCATGGGCCTGAGGTTGGGAAGGCATTTTCTTCTTGGCGCTGCTTGGAATAAGCTGCTTGCTATCCAGATCTTTTCCTTGTTAAGAGTTTGATAAAACCTACTCTGTGCTAAAAATGACTGGTGGAAGCTGTTTTGAATGAAAAATCTGGCTTTCCTGGGAAAGTTGGAGCATCACTGAGTGAGCCAATGGCAAAGAAAGCCAAATCAAGGAAAGGGGGCAGTGAGAGTTAAGAAGCCTGCGTTCCATCTCAGTCCTGGACCAGGAATCTTTCCTTTAGCATCCTAGCCACTTGGTGAATGAGATGAAACTAGACACCTGTTCACATAGAATGTGCAGACATTCACTCTAATACTTACCATGGATTTTCCTACATTAGAGTGGTGCTTCCTCCCAAATGGGAATAATAATGTGTGCCAGTCTGCTCCAGAGTTTTTAAGAATAAAACAAGGGGACAGATGATAGAAACTATTCTCACCAGGGATCCCCAAGGCGAAGTCTGTTTGACTTTACTCTTTCCTCGGTTGAGGTAAATTGCTTCCAAGAATATAGTGATTGGGACAGGAAACACATTTTAGTGCAATGACCTCAGTGATCTCAAACACATCCATCATGTACCATGCATTAACTGTCATAGACAAATCACTCTTGGACAATCTTGTTTCTGTTCTATTCTGTGAAAAGGCTGTCTACTCCAGCTTTTCAGAACAGTTCCTTAGGTTGGGGCTGAATGTCTGGTACAAATGGCTTCCAAAGGCCTCCTCAGGCTTACAGTTTCTCATCTGGCTACCACTCTGGTACATCCCACAGTGATGGCCATGATGTTTCACTTGAATCACCTCCTCAGAGTTCACCTCAAAGTTTGTCTACTCTGCAAAGTATATTAATTCCCAGTGCTTCAACAAGACATAATATTGCCTTCATGATAGTGCTTACCTTCTTCTGTGTTTTTTTCTTTTTTTAGTTGAAAAAAATATTTATGCAACATAGTTTGATCATGCTTCCCCCTCTCCCAAATTCTCCCTACCTCCCTACCCAACCAATAACATATACTTCTTTATCTCTCTCTTTGGAAAACAAAGACTCTCTTTCTCTCTCTCTCTCTCTCTCTCTCTCTCTCTCTCTCTCTCTCTCTCTCTCTCTCTACACACACACACACAATATTAGAAACCTTGATACAAGCAAAAGACAAAAAAACAAGCAAACAAACTAAACCCCAAAGAAATATAAGACAAAAAAATCTACAAAACTACTGCTGAGTTAGGTTTGTGTTGGCTTTCTCCTATTGGGCTTGGGGTCTACCATTCCATGTGGTTAATATACCTAGTGAGACTTCATTGCAGAAAACTAGTCTTTCCATTGTAAGTAGGTATCAGTTACAGGTATCTTCTTGGTTGTGGCTGGAGAACCATATCTATTCCATCTTCTCAGTACTGTGACCATCTGTCTTGAACTCGTAGAGGACCTGTGGGTACTGCCACGGTTTGTTGCTTCATGTGTACATCAGTCCTGCTACATCTGGAGGACACTGCTTCCCTGGTGTTACCCAAAACACCTGCTTTTTACAATATTTCTGCCTCATTTTTTTACATAAGTATGAGCCTTAAGGTGGGGGATGGGGAGTGATGAAGACATCCCATTTAGGACTGAATGTTCCAAGGTCTCTCACTCTCTGCACACTGTCCAAGTTTTGGGTGTATGCATTTGTATCTGTCTACTACAAGAAGCTTCTCTGATGATGAATGAGTAAGGCACTGGTCTCTGGTGATAGAAGAATGTCATTAGGAGTCATTCTATTGCTATGTTTCTTTAGCAAAGCAATAGCATTTAGTTTTCCCCGGGTCCATGGCCTATCCAGTCTCAGGTTCTTGGCCACTCTAGCAGAGTCAGGCATGTGTTCCATCTCATGGAATGGGCCTTAAATCCAATCAGAGTGATCGGTTACTCCCACATTTGTGCCACTATTATATCAACATATCTTGCAGGCAGGTCACTAATGTAGGACACAGGGTTTGGAGCTGGATGACCTTTCTCCTCTGGTAACATACAGAGTACCTTTCAGTATGGTGAATACTAGTTAGTGGGTATGAGTTTCAATTTCTCTGTGCCTGATGAGATATGCCAGGATTGTGTTCATCTATAGGAGCTTATCATCAGTTTGTGAAGAGCAACCAATATCCTTGGCAATAGCCTGAGATGTTTGGGGGTTTCCATGGGGCCCTTTTGGCCAATGACTTAAATAGATATAATTCATTCCTGGCACTGAAGGTTTCCTTGGTGGTGTAAGGTATCCAGTTGGGCCATTGTCTTCCTCATTAGTTGGTGACTCCATTTATATTTCGTTCATATATGTATGTATTTTAGGAAGCTTCTTTAGTTTCAGGTTTCCATATGGTCCCTCATATTCCCTCCCTTCCCCCTCTCTCCCACTCCTCTTCTCCCACTCCAGTTTTCCCCATCTCTCTTTATAATGATATGTTCTCCTAAGTGCATTAGTTGCCAGTGCTAGATGCAATACTGCTCTCATGGAAGCTCTCACCTTCTGAACAACAGGCCCCACTGTTAATCAGGCTCTGTCTTGAATTATAGGCATTCATGGTCTTGTCTTGATCCCTTTCTAAGTACATGAACTATACTCACTTGTCATTATATTCCAAAGAGATTCTAGACCCCAGCACAGAACAGGACTGCCATCTTATAAACACTCGGGACACACAGAGCTAGAAAGAACTTCAGACAGCATCTAAACCAACCGTCTTCTTCCTCAGAGGCGAAAACAAAACCAGCCATGTTTAGGAGCTTTACCCTCATCAATGACTAGTTGTTGCCTAGATTAGAACCAAAACAAAACTCTCAAGTCTCATGGCTAGAAGACAGCTGTCACTCCACAGATGGCTGGGACTGAATTGCAGAATCTTGGAGAAATATGAACACATCACACAAGCGGGAGGTGTCAGCATTGGATTCAAAGGCTCACTGGGAAGATGAACTTACCTGAGGGTGGGGGGAATATTATCATCCACAACCATATGTGCCCATTTTATGGGTGTCCCCATGTGCCAGGTGCCAGTCCCTTCCACAAGTTGCCTCATTGTCATTGTCTGCTCAAAAAAGGCCACCTGATCACAGAGGACTGACTTCTCTCCCTTTTTCCCTTCTAGGCTAATGGAGGTTGGCAGGATGCTACTACCCCTTCATCAGTGACCTCCCCTACAGAAGGCCCTGGCAGTGTTCACTCTGACACCTCCAACTGATCTCCCGCAATCGCATCCCGGCTGACCCTGTGCCGCAGTTGGGGCAGGGGCAGGAGGGGGGGTTTCTCTCCCAACGCTGAAGCGGTCAGACTGGAGGTCGAAGCAATCAGCAAACACAATAAGAGTCTCCTTCTCTTCTCTTCTTTGGGATGCTATTTCAGCCAATCTGGACACTTCTTTATACTCTCTTCCCTTTTTTTCTGGGTAGAAGCCACCCTCCCCTGCCTCCAGCTCTCAGACTGGTTTCTGTCATCTTCCCTGGCCCTGTTCTCTGTTCTACACTCCCTGGGTTCCTGCCCTCTATTATATCACTGAAGGATATTTTCAACAATTAGAGGAATTTAAAAAGGAAAAAAAAAACAATTACAAAGAAAACAATAAACGTATTTGTATGTTTCCGTGCTGGTGGTTTGAGGAGCCAGATTTACCTCACTCAGAGCCCTCACCCTATGTTGTTAGGCAATCCTTCTGTCTCTCTTGTTACTCTCACTACCTCTTAGCAGGAATGCACCACACTGCCCTACTCATTCCAGGCCACTCTGTCTCTGTTTGCCCCTTCTTTCTGGGAATCATCTGATTTCTTCCTCTTCTTTCTGGTCCCAGGTATTTGTTGGGGACGGCCATAACTGGGCTCCTAAAGGTGCCACATTTCAGTGTTGCTCTTTCAGGTTGAGTCCCAGGCAGGAAGTCAGGCAAGAGGGGAGGGCACAAGGAATAGCAAGGGCAGAATTCCTACCAGCTTTCTCGTCCTCTTAGAAACAGTCTCAGAGGTCTGCGGAGGCTATTCAACACTTGGGCGGCAATGTTCAGAACCTCATGCCAGTCAGATCTGAGAGAGGTATCCTGATGGGCACATCTGTAAAGAGTGAAGGTGTCTCATCCTGAAAGGCTTCACTGTCCCTTCCTAGACATGCGCACACACATGACACACACCGGTGGGCACATACACAACCTGACACTTTTGCTTGGCCGGATGCTTCTACCCTTCCATAAGTGACCTCCCCTATGGAAGGCCCTGGCAGTGTTCACTCTGACACCTCCAACTGATCTCCTAACAGTCTCACCCTGTGCAAATGCATACATTAGCAACCCTAGTACTCTAACTGGTGAGCCTGAGAGAGAAGCAATATGTGCCTCGGGGCTTCTAGGATCCACCAACATGCACTTCCCACAGTGGGATGCACAGGACATTACGGGCATGCAGGTTGGGTTTCAAGTGTAAACAGCTTTCGTTTCCACCACCTCTGGAGCTCTCAAGGAGCCATATACAGGACTTACAATGTCTATGATGGATTTGGCTGCTTTTTCTGTGTTTTTATTATATTATCTTTTCAAAACATTATAGTACACTGTGGTCTTGATCCTGGCTTCTTCCTCTGGAGCAGAGATGGTATAGTATGTGGTTCAGGTGAACTTTCTACTAATTAACTTGAAGGCATCAGAACCATAGAGTAAGAGGTTTTGTTGTTGTTGTTGTTGCTGCTGCTGCTGTTGAAATAATCACAGTGATCTATATACCATGGGATTGAAAGAAAATAACATTTACTATAAAGTTGTCTTGCTTATGACTTGAGCTTAAATTCCCCAGTCAGCTCTGCCAGCCATAAAAATGGTAGCTTTGCCAGTAGATTAGGTGGCATATGGTCAGATATCTTTGGAGCCTCATGCTCTTCATCTGTAAAATGGCAATTATTATGCTTGGCTCACCATGGGGCTTGTAAGAGGCCCATAAAACTGGTTTTGTTTACATTTAATCTCTAGATTTGATGGTCAAGAAAAGCAATGGCCCTGTGATGAACTGTTTCATTTGAGGTCAGAGCCATTCATGATTTTTTTGTTCTAACTTCTGCTTGTGATCTTGATATCATCACCATAATGACAAAGTGTTGTTTTCGAGGCTTTCTTCACTGATTTGCTTTTGGTCTATTAGTCTTCTTAGGATAGAGAAGAGATTTGAAACCAGAGGAATAGAACTTGGTTTTATTAGCTTCTACTTGAATCCAGTATGTGGCCTTGCAAGTCCTTGTCCCTATCATAACTATTCTCTTTCAAGAAGTACAAGAGCTTGAGGGCTAAGACACCAGCCCATAAAGTCACTCACATTCCACATGGCCCTGCAATGATGTATAGGAGCATCCTTCGTGTGTATTGGGAGGAGTAGGGCATGCATCCTGGGAAAAGGGTGTTGGGGGTGATATTTGAAGGTAATGCAGAAAGTAATTATTTGGCAAATGAAATTTTGTCTTGCTGATCTAGGTCACTAGAAAGACAGTCAACTAACCTGTGACATACTCAGAGAGGATGCCTAGAAGGGACATCATCACAAGTCTATATAGTAATGAGAACCAGTGATCTTCGTCTTTGTGGCAGGACTATACTGAAACCACTCATACAAACATGGTGAGATCACACGATTTAACATGGAGCAAATTATAAGAGTAACTGAAGGGTTCTCTTGGAAGCAAGGACGACTCCAGATCTGGACCTGAACACACGAAGGGCATGAGTGGAACGAGGCGTTCACACAGACAGCTTCTCTCCAGGCAGTGGTAGCCCCACCCATCGCTTCACTAGGCCCCCTTAGGTCCAACACTTAGCCCGTAGCCAGTTCCCCTTGCCCACTGTCAACTCCAACATGGCAGCCCCCAGATCTCTGTTGTCAAGCAAGGCTAAAGAAAGCTGGCAGCCTCAGGATAGGAATGGGAAGAGTGTGCCTATAGAAATTCTGACCGACCTCTAAAATCTGTGCCCCGGGATTCCTTCATAGTCTAAGTATAAATGAGAGTGCTCCATTTTCCACAGCAGCAGTTTTCTCCTGAGAAATGGTAGCAGACCTTGGGTTTGTCACCCCACTTCTCTGCCTCTCCCTCCTCTTCCCTGGAGCAGAATGGACTCCTGGCCGCGTTTCAGCCCCCTGCCACCGTCCTTCCACTGCTTTCCCTGTGGTAGTGCTTCTGTCTTATTTTTTATTAATTTTTTTTGGTTGCCTTTTCTCACACCTCTCTTCACCTCTTTCCTTTCCTCTTTATTTTTCTGCCCAGAAAAACCTGACTTCGATACCAAAAAAAGATAAAACTACAGAAACTCAAATTTAAAAAAAAAAGCAAAAAAAAAAGACTCAACAATTCTTTCAGCTTTATTAACATTTTCCATCGTTTCTTGCAACTTGTGTCTTGTTCTTTGTAGTATTGATGATGAACATTTGATAATGAATGTTCTTGTATATTCAGATAAAGAAAAAAACCAAAAAAGCGGTCTGAATTTAATAGTGTTTATAATAAAAATTTTAAAAATGACCCTCATAGCACGCAAAACAGGAAGGGGAAGTTTCCCTTCTTTCTGTGATGATACACATCATTCCTGCATTAGTTTTAAACACCAAACTACCTATGTTCCTCATTCCCCCCATATTTCTTTTTATTTTCTTGCATTTGTGAATTAGTTCAAGAATGCTAGAAAAGTGTCAAGTTGTGTATATCCATTTCTTCTTTCACAATGTTTAAAAGTGACCGTAATTCATTTTGTAAGCTAAAAAAAAAAAGGAAAAAAAAGAAAAAAAATAAGGTTGGAATAGTGAACATAATAGGTACAACCTAACCCTTATGTTTATTAATTTTGAGACCCAGAAATAAATTCTTTTCCTCTCTTTATTCCTGCTCTTAAAAATACAAAAAAAATAGTTTTGTTTTGTGTTATTTTGGTTTTGTTTATTTGAGGGGGGTGCTTTTCTTCACTGTCAGGGTTGTGGGTCTTGCTGGTTTTATTCTTTAACTATGTATACAAGGTGATGTGACAGGGGTCCTTCGTAGATGAGGCTGCTTCCTTGTTCTGCTTTGCTTCAGTCGACGTCAAAAACAGCGGTAAAGCCCATGGCTGCATGCCGTTGCTTTCTTGCGTGCCCAGGAAGTGTGGCACTCCTGTAATCCCCAAGACAATGAGGCAAGGACTTGCTTCCTTAAAAACTAAGGGAGCCTGTCCAGGGGATTTCTTACACTAGAAGGAAAGACTTTTGCCTTCATTGATTCTGAATGTCTTTCCTTCTCCTTGATTAACGCCAACAGTCCATGAGAATGCTTCCAACAAGACTAGAATTTTTCTCCTGGTGGAACTCCACAGGAGGTACTGCCATGGTGGGTACCATTACCAAGCAGAATAGATCCAGGAAGCAAGCCCCCGGGGCACATCCACTTAGGATCCAGAGTCCCCAGTTCTGGGTGGAGAGTTGGTGAAATGTTGAGCCAGAGCCAAGGCTGCAGGTTGGATGCTAAGATGCTGGTTTCTGATTCATTGATGGTGCGGTGCACTTGTCACTAACCTCCGGTTAGGTTGACTGTTTAAATTGCAAAGCAAGATTCATCAGAAACTTAGTATTAGTTATAGGGCAAAAGAAAGCCATTCAGTTTTGGACACCATGCATTCAAACATTCAAGTTGTCAGGAAGCAGACAGAATTCCAGCCAGATATGTGAAGGGGAAAAAAAAACAAAAACAAAAAACCAACTCAGAGTGGCTGAACTGTGCTTTAGGAAGCATTTCCACCTGGGGACAGCTGTGCTCTTGTTTCCCTCATGAGAAACGAAAGGCATCCTTTCACATCACCTCTGTGGTTTCCAGCCTAGCTCAAAGCTTTCTGGAAACTTTTATTTTTTGTAAACATTTTTTTTTGCCTTTTGTTAAAATAAATAAAACATTGAATGTTTCCCCCTCTTTCTCTATTATGTCTTCCCATTGGGAGTTTCATTTCGAAGTGTTTTCCTTTGGTTGTTGGTTTTTATCCCCCCTCCCCCACTTTTCCCCTTATTATTGAGAGTATGGACCTGCAAAAAGCTCTGCTCTGGTTTGGTTTTGAAAGCTTAAGCTTTTCTGCTTCTGCAAGAGCACAGGCTTCTTTCCCCTTTGATTCCAGCTGAACTTTTGTGTTCTCTAATGATACTAACACGATGTAGGTTTTACAGTCTCCTAATTTGTACTGGTAATGCAGATTCCAAATAAATAGTTTCTTTTGTTGCAAAATATATATACATACACTTGTATTTTGTGTAGATTTCTTCTTCTGTGCTGCCAACTTCGCTTCCCTATGTTGGCCTGAATTACTGTGGCTTGTGTTTTAAGTCATTGCCCTAATCAATGATTTATAGTCTAGGCCACCAGCTTCACAAAGGGAGGGAAGGAGGGAGGGAGAGAGGGAGGGAGGAAGACAAGAGAAATCAACTCTATAGAAGGACAGAGTAACTCATCTGTTTTAGAAGTCATAACTATTTGCCCAGTGGGTTATCTTTTCTTTCACTGGAAGGTTCTGTTCATAAGGGAAATTGTGATTCCTAAGAGATGTTTCAAGGGAAAGAATGCAGGTTGTAAATAATACTCTTGGTCCCTCCAAAGTATTCTAGATGTCACTCCAGAAAATCTGCTCACCTGCAGTTGCTTATGTCTGTCATCCCATTGAAGCATTCATCCTGATAGTTTGTCTATATCCATGGGAACCCTGGCCTGTGTTACCATCTGCCGGTCAGTATTTGCAGTGTTTTAGCATCCACACTGTAAGTCCATATCCCCACCTTCAACATCCTGTTACTGTCTTTGGAGTGTGGAAAATCTAATTACCTAGCTCTTGACTGACAGTTTGTCCCTCCAAAACATGGTTCTACACAAACATTAGTTTCCCATTTTCCTGCTTTATGTCTCCAAGGAGGACAGTTAAAGTTGAGGTGGCAACCACATACCCACCCCCATCCCAATCACAATTCCAATCAACAGAGCTTAGAGCAACAGAGGAGCAGTTGAAAATAATTTTTTGTTTTGTTTTGTTTTGTTTTGTTTCCAATTGAACAAGCCAAGTGTCAATGACCTTGGAAGACTAAAGCTAGCCCTAAATGATTTTGGAAACCTTACCAGAAGCCAAATCAAATCTCAGGTACTCTCTTCAAATTTAAGCATAGAAATACATTGTCATGCGAAAAGCACACTCGGATTAAGTTTGTTTTCCAATTATCATGGGCCTAATCCATCCACATAGCACATTTATTAGGAGCCATGTACAAAACTACTGGAAAGAATAAACCAAAGGTGTGTGACGCCTCAAATACAAATCACATATACTTCCTGTTATGTAACAATTTAAAGACGTTTTCCAGTCAGAGTACCTCCTTCTACTATGGTGACCTAGGGAGCTGGCTCCTTCATGGCTCGCCTTCCCCATGTGTGTCATCTTCCACACTAGACCAGCAGATGGAAAGGCCTTGACGAAGGCTTACCCCTTTCTTGAAAACCTTGACCAAGGCCTGCATTTATAGTTCTAAATGTAAGGTCTAAGGGTAATAGTGGAATCCCGGAAAACTATTAACTGTTTAGGCAGTCACTTCCTGGCAGTAACTCCACATGATAACTTTGAATGGCTGGCAAGAGTGAAAATAAAAGACAAGCCCACTTGTCTATGTCAGGTGGACACACACTCCAAGTGAAAATATTGCTAGCTGCCATTCTTGACACAGCTACATTATGCCTCAGTGGAAAAGGGGCAAACCTGGATCAAGAGATGTCCAACTCAATATTGCCCTCTGGAGGAAGAAGAAGCAGAAGTACCTTTTCCATGGAAATGTGAGAATAGAGAAGAGGAAGACAAGACAAACAAACCCTTTCTCCAACATCTTCCAATTTGTTTCTAAACTTGGGTCTTACTATCAAGCCTGTGGTCACTAAGAGGAGGAAGCTACTGGGAATGACAACAGCCTTGTACCCACCTCCAGGAACTCACACCTTTGTGTTCATATTGATGCCTCAAAGAATCATGGCTAGTGACTAACAGCCATCCAAGAGAATGTAGACTGTGCCCTAATTCATCCATGCTGTAACGAAACATCTTCCACTCTATAATTTATAAGCAATGAAACCCTATTGCTCTTTGTTCTGAGAGGGCTGGGGAGTTTCCTGTAGGTTATGGACAGCCCATCTCTCTTGGGTCCCCCAGGCCTCTTGTGTAAAAGTAACAGCGTCATTTCAGATGCTCTTCCCTTCCAACTGAACCACACCTCAAAGACCTTGTCTCGTATGGAAGCCTAGAGTATAGAGTAGACATCACTTGGACCATAGCAGAGCTAATTTGCAAGATCTGATCTCCTCACTCATAATTTATACATGCCTACACAGCCTTGTAAATTTCTACCAGTTTCCACTTTGGAAAAAGAAATGCAGCAAAATATCATGTAATATCTCTTTAGTGGTCAAAATAGTGTCTGTCTTTATCATTTGAGTCATTTTGTGAGAAGTGGCACAAGAACTCAGTTCTATGAAGTTGCCCACTGGGTGAACTCAAGAAGTTTGTGCCTAAGCTTGCCCTCTGAGGGGCCAGCAGGAAGGATGAAGTTATGTAGCAAGAACTTCTCTGTTATTCTGGCATAGAAACTAAGGTGTGGAAATCAAGCAGGGGTCACTGGGCCTAGCATTGTAGCCTTCCCACCCCAGGTAGACTACCTGATCTCCAGCTGGGGTGGGAGGTGAAGGGGGAGAAGTCAGAAAGGACAGGGACAGCAAGGGCCACATGCTTTGGAGAACCACTGTCTTTGTCTTTCTGGGACCCAGGTAAGGCCTAATTCAGATGGCTTTGGGTAGACTAGGTAGATCAATCATTAGTGTTTAGATTTCACTGTGCCCTAAGCCAATGTCACTCCCCCACCCCTCACAATCCAGCCAAGTTTCTAATGTAGCTCAGCAGTTATCAACATGCATTCCTTCATAACATAAAAGGCCCCAGGCGCTGGTATGTATTCAAATATGAATCTTTCATTAATAAGTACCCAGAGAGAAATTAAAGTTCAAAATAAAATCTTCCTTCTCTTATAAATTAAAATCCAAAAGGATGTTAATCTACAGTTCATCCTCTATGATTTCCTACTGTGCTAATTATGCATAAGTTCACTCATACTCCACTGCTACAAGTGGGGTCTAGGGCCTTCCTTTTAATGAGGCAGTAGAGGCCTCACCTACTAGAATAAGACAGCTGTCCTGGTCCCTCCAAAGCTCAGTTCATCTAACATTGAATCTCTCTAGTATTCCACTTTTTTCCCTAGAAATCAACTTGCAAATCATATGAACTGTATCTTTTGACCAGCTTTGTCCAAAATGCTGAGAAAACACCAATAGAATCATGGGTCCCCTTGGAAAATGAAGTCGCCAGGACCCAGAGTAGAGTGTCATCTGACTATTGACAATGAATGACTTTAGCAGAGCTTTGATAATTTGATGAGAAAGCAAGGGAACTAGAAAGCACACAGGAAAGGTAAGAGTGAAAATATTTAGTCTTGCAGTACCAATTGTGTGGTATCAACTGTCATGTTGAGAAAAGACCATCAACAAGAAGTTAATCCCATATCCTTAGGGAAACAACCCAACCTATGCCTTCTGATCCCTCTCTCTGAGAATGACCTTTGAAATATTCCTGCCTTTGTGAAATTTCAGAAATAGAAAAGTGGGTCCCCTCTAGTCCACAGGGTGACTTAAAACTCCCTTCATCCTCAGACATTCATACACTTATATAAAATGTCATCCTAATAGCCATTTTGAGTTAAGCCCTGCACTCCCAATCTCAGCTCCCTATACTTTGTGAATTCTGCTTCTCCGTTTTCTGCAAGAGGTCCAGCTTAGGACCCCTTTCTGCTATTACCCCTGTCTTAGCTAGAATTAGCTGCCAGTTGCTGAGGCCCAGAGACTGCAGGGCAGTGGGATGTATCCTGCACACAAACGCCACAGAGCCTCACCTTCCCTCAACTCTGTGAGCCTAAGCTTGAATGACAGGGGCTGCTCCCATGTTCACAGAAACTGTCCTGACATTTTCTCCCAACCATTCTCTCCTTGTCTTCCCGACTCCTTTTAAGCAAGCTGGAAATGTTTAAAATACTCTGACCACCTTTTTTTCTCTAGTTCCTTTTCTTCTGTCTCTTATGTAGACATCATTCTCTTTGTCTTGGGCTTAGACATTTGTTTGCCTATCATACTTCCCTAAACTCTATTTTTAATCCCCCTACCCAAATTCTATCTCTATCTCAAGCTTCCATTGAATCAAATGAGTCTTTTTTAGCTTCAATTCCTCAAATTCCTCAATGCTGTCAGAAACACTCGCAGACTCAGATCAGGAAGCTTCTCCAAAACCACTTCTTCTCCTTCAGGATCCCTCCAAAGGGCCTATCTCTTGACTTACACCTTTAGAATACATGGCTCATCAATTTCCCCTCACACAAAAACAGTGAGAGTAGAATTCACTAGTATCCTTATGTGTTTCACTCTGCTTTTCCTCAGTTACCCCTCTCAGATGTTCCCACATTCTCTACTAACACCCAAGGCTCCTTTCTGAGCCACTCATGAGACCATCTCCAGCTGCACTCCCCACAAGCTTCCTGTCTGCTGCCTTGGTGCATTCTGGATTCCTTCCTGTGAGATCTACATGCTGTTTGCTTACTGAGCACCTAACAGGCCCATCATACTGACTTCAGTTCCAGATCCACTACTGTCACCTGGATCCTTCCTGACACCACCTCTAAAACCAGATGAAAGCTTTTCCATGCCAACAATTACTCCAGCATCAATCAGCAAGGCATCTTAAAACCCACGACAAAATTGACACTAGATATTGGTTAGGGCTCAACAGGGCTCAATGCCAAAGACTACCTCCATATTAGGTTGTGTAAGCAACTATCAAGTCTGACTAGGAGCTGTAAGTAGGTTATGATCCCCTCTTAAGTAGGATAATTTGCTAAAACAACTCTGGGACTCAGGTAGCTACTCCATTTAGATGTTCTCATTGGTTATAAAGGATATAAATGAACAGTCAGATGAAGCGGTACATCAGATAAATGGGTCCTCAGAGCACAAGATCCTGTCCCCCTAGGAATTGGTGTGCACCTCCCCTCTCGATGGATGTGTTCACCACCTCAGTCCCAATTACCTAGGTATTTTTGAGGTTTCCTTACATAGAGGTGAGGGACTAAATCATAGACCACTAGTGCTTTACACAGAGCTTGAA